GCAGCAGCAAGAGGCATTTGCTCAAGGTCCTCAGGGTTTCTCACCTCGTCGCTCTCCGGAGGACTTGCAGCAAAGTCTGGTTCCTCAAAAAGCTCCAGCTTGTCAGCTTGGAAAAGGTCTGCATGTGGAAGGATGGATGACTCATGAGTGCAGGAGCCCCAGGGGTAGGGTTTCATCACAAACAGCCAGAAACTGGTTGGGTGCATGTCTGTCATCTGCAGTGTAGGGTATCAGCAGAGCGCATCGAGTGCGCATGTATGCTCCGAAAGATGGTTAACTTGCTTCAATCATCCAGACGCACTTGTGACCTCCTTTCCTCCCTTAACCCCCCCGTGCCCTCACCCTTTGCCCGCGTGAAGCGCTTGCCACGCAGGTGCACCTTCACGGCATCCACGTCTGCCTCGATGAGGTGGTTGGTCAGAGCACAGTACAGCTTCCCACTGCGCGGATGTACAGATTAGACAACCGGTCAAAGTCCTGCACCAGCACTGCGATGCTTGGCCTGCGAATTTCTGCACATTGATCCTCCTCTTGAGAGCCGAAACTCACGGGAAGTTGATGGATGGCGTCAGGAACGGCTCGTACTGTTTCAAGGTTCGCTCAACCTTGTGTTTGGAGATGAGCTTCTGGAACTTTTTGCCCCTGGAAGGTCGAATGAAGGGAGGCCAGTGAGCAGTGAAGCCGGGAGAGTCCGCCGTCTAGGCCAGTTCCCTTCCCGGTTTAGCATGCGAGGCGTACTACAATCCAGTGTACAACTCACTCGACAAAAGCCTTCACGACGTCAGGACGCCCGGGCATTGTATGCCCGTTGAGTATGCACTCCACCCGGCCATCGTCCTTCAGTGTCAGGACGGCGGGGTAGGCATCGAGTAACAACTTGACGGAAGGATCAACCTGACCCATCCCTACCCTTCCACCATAAATCTTGAATATTGGTGGTCCATTCAATGATGCATGGTTTAGCTGCATAGTAATTCCTCCTGCGGCAATGAAGGAGTGAGGCGGCAGCAATCTTCCCGCGAGCGCGACGCGCGCGCAGGACTCGGTGATCGTCTCGTGAGTGTGGAATTAGATGTATTATTGGATTGTCTTCCCTCTAAGCTGTCCTTGCCTCTGACTAGAACCCCTTGTGAGCCTTTCAATTAAACCACTGATTTTCGTGCTGATCATCGGTCAGTCCCTGGGACTCCACCAGCTACACCGACAAAATGGCAGCGACAACCGAGCTCTTCACGCGAGGAGGGCCCGACATGGCAGACAACAGGGGCCAGAGCATGGTGAGGGGATGGTTTGATTCGATCCTGTTCCCTGGCAGCCCCAGGCGAGCTATGCAGCATGCATATCAGGACTGTCCTCCCCTCCTTTGTGCAGGTGGCCAAGCACTTGGACAAGCTGCAAAAGAACAAGGAGGATGCCGCGGTGGCCAAGCTGAAGGCCTTGATGCCTCACGTAGGCCCGGTTGCTCGGGAGATGGCCCTCCAGGAATGTGGGTGGGACACTGAGCGTGCCCTGGCCCTGTTGCGCAAGTTTGCCCTCTCCAATGCCCAGGAGCTCAGCACGATCCAAAAGGTAGTCAAGTCAGGTCGGAGCGGCAGATTTTGGGTGACTTGCGGTCTCTTCCAAATGGGCATTATGGGACTGGAAGTGCTTGGACTTCTGCCCTAGTACCTCGCAACCCCTGCCCTGGTTCCAGGAGAGGACACGTCATGCGGAGACTCAGATGGCAGCTCGCATTGCTGCTGGAAGGAGTGGAGATGGGTCTGAGAGCGATTCCGACGAGAGTGGTAAGCCTGAGTGGGTGGTTGGGGTGGCGAGGAAAGGCAGGGAGGAAGCAGGCAGCGACTTGCCGTGCGGATCAATGGACTGCTCAGGCTCCAGAACGGCTCCTTGCGGAGACGCACCATGGCTACAGCGGGTGTGCAGGGGGTCACATACCTGTGACTTAAGGTCAACAAGGCCACCGCATCTCCTGCCTGCAGATGATGATAATCGGCGGAGTAAGAAGCATGGGAAGAGCAGCAAGAAGAGGGATGGCAAGCGACACAGCAGCTCAAAGTCCAAGAAGAAGCACAAACACAAGAGGTCGAGGTCGGGGAGTGAAGACAGACCACCAAAGGTGAGTGGAACGTAGAGTGATGGCTGCCCTGTTCGCTGTAACTCTGCGGCTCTCAGGCGCTGCTTTGGTGGCTGCCCGCTGCCTATCGCTGCTCCTCTGAGGATGGTCAGCAGCCAACCTGCACCACCCTTTGATTGCTGTGTCATGCCAGTCAACCCCTGCCTCACCAAGCGGTCTCCCTTCTCCTCGTCCAGGGCGCTGTGGGGTCAGAGTATGGAAAGCATGGCATCATTCGAGAGACAGACATGTATGCCAAGCGCCCAGAGTTTATGCTATGGGCCATCGAGGTGAGTGATTAGGCGATGGAGTGGTAGGATTGACAAGCACTTGCCTTCATTTCCCCCCTTGCAATCAGGAGTAGCTTTGCAACACTCCTATTGAAAGCGGCCCAGGCTCGAGCTCCGCACCTCCTGTGCGCAGGTCAAAAAGATTGATGTGGAGATCATGCCCAAGTTTGAGGAGAAGGAGCTGTTCAGGTGAGTGGGAAATGGTGTGTTTGGGTACACAGTGTCTGCCCGGTGATGGAAGCTGTGGACCTAGGGGTGTTCATTGAACTTGTGATGTTCATTGAAGCGCAGTAGTGGCATGTACGGTGACTGGAAGCTCTGTCCAATGGAAGATCACTCCTGCCCTCGCCCTGTGAGCTGTGCAGAGAGTACATGGAGGACTACAACACCGCCACCCTGCCACACCAAAAGTATTATGACACTGAGCTGTACGAGAGGCAGCGGGCAGCCAAGGCCGCCAAGCGCGCAGCAAAGAATGGGGTGAGCCAGACGGAGTGGACGGGAGTGATAGGGTGGGTGGGGTGCCAGGGCCGGCTTCCTGGCATCAACAATCAGCCGCATGTGTGTGTCCGTGCTTATGTTTCATCCAGACCACTCTTTCAACGCTGTGAGTGACGTGTGGCGTTCCCAGTCATCCTGAGATGAAATCGTGGAGGACCTCGTTACCAATGCGGGGCTTGCACAGCAAAGGCGCCCCTCAAGGCATGCACCACTTCCTGCACCTTGCTCCGCACCTAGAGCCCCATCCCTGCCACCCTGCAGCCCAAGGAGAGGACCGCATTTGAGGACGAGGCGGAGCTGAAGGCCCAGCTGGCGGCGCAGCGGGCGGAGGAGCAGCGCGAGCGGCTGAAGGCGGCCTACGGCGAGCTGCACACCACCGACAAGGCCAAGGCGATGCGGGAGCAGGAGCTGATGCGCGCGCAGATGACGCTGGCGTACCGCATGGGCGACCACTCCGAAGCGCAGCGCCTGGCGGCGCGCCTGGCCCCTGACGACCCCAGCAACCCCCACCGCTGACGGCCCAGGGGCTAGCTGGCGGTTGTGCGTGGAGCGTGTGACGATGCTGGGTGCTTTCCCTGGTATGCAGACATGCTTGAATGGTTGAAGGCCTGGAGGATTCCACCAAGCAGCGGGGGATGACAACCCGAGATCGTGCTTCGCCATGGCGATTGGAAACGCGCGCAGCAGCAGCGGAACAGCACCACCCCGAGGGGAGACGTCTCTCCCGGGCCCACACCAAGAGGTCGCAGTTGTACAGTCAAATATCGAGGCTGTGGTCAGAGGGGCAGACATCGACAGTCGCCCATCCCGGAAGAACACGGGGTTCGCCACCCCCGCGACGCTGTACGCAGGCGGTGCAAACCCCTTTGGAGCACCCTCTGGCGGTCCCCCTCCCGATACCTGACACATAGCATGGCTCCAGCCACCATTATCGGGGGCCTGCTGGGCCTCGGCGTGCAACTCTACTGCAACGCCGTGCGCAAGCTGCCCTTGATGCGCAACCCCTGGGAGCACGTCCTCTTCATCGGCGCTGGCGCGGCCTTTGGCAACTGGCTGGTCGACTTTGAGGAGAGGACGGCACTGGAGCTCAAGGGTAGGAAAGGGGTGCGCGGCAAGGGGTGGGATCCCTGGGAGGTCACCTCCTGCAACCCTGGTGGCGGTGTGATTGCTGCCCTTGCCAGAGGGCCCATTCTATAGTGACTGAGTTGTCCTCTGGATTCCATCACCCCTGCAGAGGTCCTGGCTAAGAGGGAAGCTGCCTTCAACCACTCATCAGCGGAGCGGGATGCCTGAGCCAGGGCACCTTGTCGCAGCCTGCAGCCTGCCCGATGCTCCCATCTGCATCCACTGAAGAATGCCCCCGCCGCACAGCGTGTGCCCTGCTGTGATCCACACGGCTCTCAACAGCAAGCAAATGCAGAGCGAGGGAGGGAATGGGTCGCCCCAGATGCAATTGGTACCAGGGGAAGGTTTGTGGTTGACGAATCGGGGCAGTACATTCCACCGCCCGACGGGTGAGGGGTGCGTTGCTGGCCCTGGTTTCCTTTGGATGTGCTTGGGTGGAAACCGGGTCAGTGGCTTCCGGGCGCGGGAAAAAGAGGTGCGATGCCGGCCAGTCCCACCTGCGTCACGAGGGGCCAGGTCCACGAGCCGCAGAGATGGCAGCAGCGAGGGAGGCAGGGTGGACGCATGGTACCAGCGGCCCTGTGCAGACGTACGGCGCAAAGGGGACGCCAGCCTCCTGGACGGCGCCAGGGACTCCGGCTGCGAATGCCGAAGCAGGTTTCCAGGGCGCACCAGAGGGTCACACCGCATGCGCCCCCTCGGCCCCGCCCGTGGTGGCAAAGGGCGACGGCTTCGCGGCCCCACTCCCTCCATCCTCTGCCCCCGCCAGCGGGGTGGACGGCGGCGTCTTGGTCGCCACCCCCGGCGCGGTGTCCCGGAACTTCCTGGGCGGCGGCGCGGGCGCGGCGGCGGGCTCGCCCCCCTCGGCGCCCTCGCCGTCGGGGTCTACGTCCAGCAGGCTGCGCACGCGGGCGGAGGCCGCGCGTGCACGTACGGCCTCGGGGCGCATGTCGACGCGCACGACGTGGGGCATGGAGGCCGCGTCCACCATGGGCAGCGCCGGCAGCGTGGCCAGGCGCTCGTGGCTGGTCCCTGCGTCGCCGCCACGCCCGGCCTCCTGCACCAGCGCAAACACGCGGCCGTTACGCGCCATGACCGCCTCGGGGTCGTGGGGCAGACGCGCCATGCGCTCGCGGGCCGCGCGCTGCGCGGCCACGCAAGCCTCCCACGCGCCCGCGTAGGGCTCGGCCAGCGGGGCCGCCAGCCAGGGGTGGGCCGAGATCTCGCCCAGCGAGATGCGGCGCCGTGGGTCCACCGCCAACGTGCGGTCCAGCAGGTCCATGCATCCAGGGGAGAGCTTGCCGATGTAGGGGCGCACGAACTTGGAGTCGTGCCACGGCGCGCTCATTTCCTGGTGCCGTGGGC